AGAAGATCAACATCATCAGGCCAGGACTCTGCGGTCTACACTCATCTCCAGGCCAGCGGTCACTCTTTCAGGGATGAAGATGTTCACATCCTGGACAGAGAGGAACGATGGTTTGAGAGAGGAGTAAAGGAGGCCATCTTTGTGAAAAGAAATCGTCCATCATTAAACAGGGGTGGAGGCCTCCGGGTTCTGTTACAATGCTGTGATTGCTAGTATCACTCAACCCTCTGTGAACAGTAAACAGCCATCAGTGTGCTAATGATCCATTGTTAGGCTGATGGTCCTTCTTGAGCATGTGATCAGCTGGTTTTGGTTGTCAGCAGCAAAACGGGTTGATCCACTCTGAGACGGTGCTATTTAAGAGACTGAGCTGAATACAGCTCCTCAGACTGAGGAAGTCTCTCGGATGAGAGACGAAACGTTTCTACATTTTTTTGTTGATTTGCTTTTTTTTTTTCTTTTTTTTTAATGTCCAGAGGACCAGATTTAACTTTTTTAGATTTTCCTACTAAGTGAAGTCAGGGTCAGTATGACCAGGAGAATAAATGGTAACATCTTCTTCACTAATTTTCTTTGGTGTAAATCATGTCAAATTAAAGGTGGCATTGTTTTAAATGCAAAAAAAAAAAAAAGGTTTATGAGAAATACATTTTGGAGCGCTGTTCAGCCGCTTCTACGTCACATCCGGCGTTTCTCTCCGGAAGTACAGTTAATTTTTATTCACAGGGAAAAAAAACACACACAGCTGCAGTTGAAAAACACAACATCAAAGTAAGTTTCTGGGGGGGTTATAATCGCGGGTTTCCCTTCGGGTTGATGTTGGTATCGTTCCCAGCCTTCTGCGGAAACCTCAGCTCCGCTGTTTGGACTCTTTAGCTGCGAGTCTCGCTGCGCTGTTTGTTGCGAGTTGCGAGCTACCAGCGTTAGCTTCCTGAGCTAACCACCAGCTAGCTGTCGGTTTCCGACTGCCTGCTCCAGTCAGAGGGACAACTGGACCTGCCCTCTGTTAAACAGTCGCGTAGATAACTTGTATACGTCATACACAAGTGAGGAAATCTTGATGGAACCTTTGTAACTTTCGAGTCTTTTAAATCAGTTCGGTTTTTGTTTGTGTGCCCCGTTAGCCAGGCTTGTTGCATCTGATGTAAAAACAGGTACTTTTGAAAAAGGATTGTAGATCATGCTTCATTAAAGAAAACTTTGAATATATGTTCTTATTACTCTCCCATAAAATACAAACAAGTTGTTTAAAGCGAGCAACTTGCATGTGTTTTCTTCTGAGTTTAATTATATTTTCCTAATATTTCTGAGCAGCTTATACACTTCACAATGTTTTCTCCCCTTCGTGTATTCTTTTTATTCCTCTGTCATTTTTGCAATAACTGTGTGTGATTTATCTTATTTCATGTGCAGTGTTTTACGTCTACATCGTACATTTTTTTAACTATTTATTTACCTGTGCACGCACGCACACGGTGTGTGTATGTGTGTCTATGTATATACTCTTGTATTGATTTATTTGTTAATTATTAGGCTTCTTGATCTGGGACCTGAGTCCGAATTTTGTAACGTAAGCATGCAAATGTATGACAATAAAAATCCTTGAATCCTTTATTTTAAATTAGGGGTGCACCGATAAATCGGGGCCGATAAATTGGCCGGCCGATTTATCGGCCCCGATTTCCTTAATTTTGGGAAATCGGAAATCAGCCGATACTTGCACGAGAAAACAATTTTACAGATTTTTTTTTTAGTTTTAACAATTGTCTGAACTTCATTTATATTTCAGTTCACTACCTCGTGACCAGTTAAAACAAGTTTGTATTGTTTCTAGGATATTGCTCAAGGGTATGTTTTTCAACAAAATAATATTGGAAAATTGAAGGTGCATTGTGACCTTATATCACCTGACAGTGTCACTAATAAAACAAAATCGGAATCGGCAGGTCAGGCTTTTTAGAAATAAGTGGTCCGTCAGAAAACTGCAATCGGTGCACCCTTATTTTAAACGGGTACCTTCTGTTTTGATACTTAACAGTATCAGTACAGTACAGTACTTTCTGCAAGAATGTAGTGGTTACATTAAGACATAACATTAGTCATGATCAAATAAATGTTTATGATTTTATTTACATTTTTTCACAGAATGCCTGCCCCAAAGAGAGGATCAACTCCTCATGACTCACAGCCCAAGATGAGGAAGTTGGATGAGGATGGAGAAGCTCTGCCAACCAAAATCGAATCGGCTACCAATTCCCTTATAACAGAGAAAAAGCAAGAAAACACTGCAGCAGCACCGCGGACTAAAATAAAACGATTGTTGGTGGAAAAGGGAAATACACCAGCCAAATCATCCAAACAAAGTTCTCCTCCGAAGGATTCCAGCAAATCCCCCTCTGATCCACCTGTGAAAAAAGCCAAGCTCCTGACTGCCACAAGTGCCTCCTGCGGAGAAGCTCCCTCACAGAGAGCAAACTCCAAAGCTTCCCTGAAACAAACCACCTCTACTGAGTCTGATGACGATCTAAGTAGCGACGGTAGTAAGGTGGAGTTCTTCAGAGAGAAAGATGATGAAGATGAGGCCTGCTGCATCGGAAAATACTCCAACAAAGCCAAGCGCAAAGTTGAATTGTCTTCGGACCTGCAGGAGATGAGCCAAGATTTATCATCCTCACCTTCTGATCCTGTACAGATAGACCACAATTATGGTAGATTTTCAGATTCCACATCTCTTCAGAACACTGGGGTGGCTGAAGATAAAGACTCTGTTTTGTCTTTTACTGAACAAGAAAGCCAAGAAATTTCACATAATGCAACACAAAAGGTGCCAACGGACACTTCAACCTCTGAAACGGGGAGCGCTGAGACGAGCATTAAAGTTGAGTCGGCAACTGACGAACATAAAGATGTGGAATTACAATTTCAAGACAGCCAAACTCTTGTGGATCATAAAACACCAGCGTTTTCTAGAGAAGTGGCAGACTGTGTCACGCCTGTGGGTGAAAAAAAAGAAAAACAAGATGCAACGGAGTCCACCAAAAGCCTAAATGATGCAGATGATAAAACACTAGCATCGCCAGAGAAAACACTATGTGCTGTTACTGGAGAGCTAATTTCAGGGGCACGAGTTGTAGATGAAAGAACTGATTCAGCTTGCCAATCAGAAAGCCAGACTTGCCTGATTATACAATCTGTTTCTGAAGAGAATGAGCTGAATATAAAAAGTGAAACTAAGGAGCAAGAAGTATCTGAAGCTGCTGGAATCTGTGCAGATAAATTAGATGGAGTTCTGTTAAAAGTAACAAGTTCTGTTCTAGAACATGTAGAAATTAGTCATTCAGATAGTCAGCCTAAGGAAAATGTAAAAATGGCTGAGTTTACTAGTTCAAATACTCAAATAGATCTCAGTTGTCAAGTAGCTTCAAGAGAGGAAATTGACGCTTCACATATTCAAGCTGAGATGCCAGAGACGGTCGTCAGCTCGTGTGATGTGAACAAAACACTTGAAAATTTTGAAGAAAGTCATAGAGACGGCATTGACTTGGAGTCTCCTCAGACTTCTGCTTGTTCTGAAGCTGTAGTTGAAGTACATCTGAATCATGGCGCCGTGACACCTGATGGCTGTACTTACACTTTATCGGAATGTGTGGTTCTTCATGAGGAAAATCAAGCAAATATGCTTTCTGGCCATTTAAATGTTCCAGAGGGTCAAATAACATCCGAGGAGGTTTTGCAAAGTGAAGACAATTGCCTGTTTAATGAAAACGTAACAAAAGAAACTACACTAGCTGATGGAGATTCTACATGGAAAGAGAGATACACGAGCAGTGTTCAGTGTTTTGCTGCAGAAATCAAAGAGGATGTACAGACTTCTCATCCAGATGTTACGGTAAAAACACAAAATCAGGATGCTCATGAATCCATCACTAATTTTCATGAGGCTCATTCGGCGAAAAACTTTGAACCTTTGGAAAAGGAAGACACTGTGGGAGCTGAATATGGGAGCGAAGCAGAGACTCAAAGTGCGATAGTAACACGGACTGTTGTAACACCAGAAATCTCTAGTTCAGAACCTCCAGTGGAAACGCGAAAGCAGGAAATCCAGGAGGTGAGTGAATCCACCACAGTTACGTCCACTGAGATTCACAGCAATGTTACAGCTGAAAAATGTGAAAATATGGAAACTGTTGAATGTGCTGTTATAGCTGAGGGTCAAAGTGGAATGGAAACACATCTTGTTGCAACATTCAAGCTTTCTGATCCAGAAGCTAAAGTAGAATTGCAGATTCAGGAGAGCCCAGTCAGCGAACGCACCGCAGTCGTACTTGAAGGTGAAAAAGATCCAGAGAATGCAAATTCAGAAAGCAGGAACGATGGTGAACGTGTTGATTTTACAGCTGAGAATTTAATAGAAGTGGATAAACAGACTGCAATAATGTCAGAGGAAGTTTGTACACAGATAGAAGAAACACACAGCCATGTGAACCAGGAGGTCAGTGAACACACCATAGACTTGTGTGAAAAAGCTCAGAAAGTTGTGGAGAATGCAAACTGTGCCACTCCGACTCTGAGTCCAAGTCGAATAGAGGTCGATGTACTGGCTGCAGCCACTTCTGAGGAGGTCTCCAACATTGCTCATATAGAAGAAACACAAACACCAATGGTCAGTGAACCCACCACAGAAACATATAAAGTTCAGAAAGAACTGGAAAATGTTCAGATTGCTGACCAGAGTCAAATTAAAATTGTAGGCAATGTTCAGGCTGCAGCTACTTCAGAAAAAGT